TTTTGTGCTTGTTCTCAATTTAATTATTAAAAAAATTGCAAATTTTGAGTTAAGATCAACGGTTCATTCATTAGTAATTGAGGTTTAAATTTGTTGTAGGAATTACTAGGGTTTGATTTAGGTTTTAGGATTTGGTTTAGGATTTGATTAGGGTTTGATTTAGAGTTTAGGATTTGATTAGGGTTTAATTTAGGATGTAGGATTTTATTAGGATTTATTTAGGATTTAAGATTTAATTAGTTTTTGGCCTAAAGTTTGAATGAAGTCCAATAGGATTTTAACTAGGATTAAATTAAGATTGAATTGAGATGTATTTGAGATATATTTGTACTCATTCTAATATTTCTTTAAGATTTCTTATTGTTTCTTTGTAATTTCTTTGAAGTTTCTTTGAATTTGATTAAAGCTTGCTTAACATTGTTATGATCTAATTAGAGTTCAGTTAGTATTCTATTAGAGTTAGGATTTTGTTGTTGCAATTTCCATTCTACCTTCTACAGCTAGGTGCCTGGAACATTCTGAAGCAAGACTTCACGTATTATAACAATGCATATCAATAAAATGTGCAAAAGGCGTTATTTATATTAATGATGGCCTTATTTTTTCTTTTATATATATCAACTAATAAAAATAATAATAATATTAAAGCAATCTAAATACTACATAATTTTTATGCCAAAAGTCTAAGTAGTAAGGTAATTTTATAATAGCTTTTTAGAGGTATGAAACTTCTTAAAGAAGTTATTGTAAACACATGGCTTATCTATAAATATATGTTGCATTAAAAAAATTAGAACACTGATTAGAAATAACCAATTACCATGTTTGAATGCCTTTACAATCAAACCTAAGTGGTAGATGGATTGTTCCATTTTAAGCAATCTATAAATCTTACCTTGGTTGAAACTTCCAATGCCTAAGAATATATTTACAATGGAAGAATTTATCTACACTGTTTTCTCATTTATTTGTGTACGTTTGAACAGAAGTGTCTGATATAGTTACGATGAGATAATTTATTCACTTGTTGTCCACAAACAACACACAAACAATGCACTGCAGTGGCACTGTTGCGACTCATCAACGCGCGCCTGCGTTGCAATCCAGGTTGCCGTGTGGGATGCAAGCACCGTGACGCAGGGCCGCAATCCAAATCCAAACCGATCCAAGCGCATCGCCTTAGTCACATCCCATGCATACAGACATCCCAGCTGGATGCACTTCGGGGAAAAAAAACAAACAAACAAACAAAGACTCCCGCCACACCCCCAGCACACGCCAATCAATGCAATCAAAGAAGAAGAACATGTAGCTTGCAGTGAATTTAATCCTTTTCAGTGTCACATCACGGACACGTTCAATGAACATTGGCTTCCTTTGCTAGACGCATCCACAGTGGCAGTAAATGCGTAAAGGCCCACCTTGACACCCAGCGCCGCAGTTTCATGGCATCGCCATCCATTCATCCCCCTCCCCATCCCCCAGCAAGTTGTTGAGAGGTGCCCTGAATTGATGTAAACAGCTGCGTGCAAATTTAGAAAGGAAGAGACTGGGATCACATGGTACCCACAATCTTAAAGCGGGCCGGGATTCAGCTTCAGGAGGCCTCGGGCGCAGGAGCCAGACGCCTGGAAACGAGCATAAATGTGGGGAAGTAGAGCATGTGCGGCGAAACCTACCTTGCGAGGGAGCTCATCAATGTGACAAGCATGAAACGGACCCACTTTGGAAGAGTTGAAAGATTGTCCCGAAACGAGTTGTGTGCACTGGAGGCACTAGGTCTGGCTTCTTCAATCATGGTGGAACGTTGTGCCTAGAATTGCTCAGACGAGCAGTTGATAACGTCAGCGATCTCGAGCCGCAACCGAAAAAGCTTGACGCGGATGCGATCTTGCAACGCCCTAGCGCTGAAGAAAAGGAGCGACGCATGGGTTTTATTTAACGCACAAGAGTTCGATAATTATAATGCCATTTCTGAGCACGGGTTCCTGAATCTGCTTGGGCATCTTTGTTGAAATTTTACTTTGATGTAACTGGAAGTGGTTGCCTCTCCAATCATCATGCATTGAATCGCATCTTTTCCAGCTGTGACTTTCTGAGGTTTTATTTAAATAAGTGTGCACCTGCATTGCAGATAAGTGTTACTCAAGAGTGAACTATTCTGTTATCATGAACTTTCGTTCTTCATTACTATTGCGAGCAAAGTTCACAAGTTCATATGGTGTTACAGAATATTGTTTTCTTCAAGTTGCTTTGGAATTATAATTTCTAATACAAATCTTGTGTGTAAGCCTGAATTCCAGAGCTGTAAGGAGGATATACTCCGTGAGCAATCCGTTCCAAATTTATGCCAAATTAATGGTTAAACAACGGCATAGTATCCCATTCCTGGGTCATTCGGCGGAAGACTGATTCAGAAGGCAGCTCTTAGCAATAGCAGATTTTGATGAACTTTGATCACAGTAGGCGAGATGAGACATACATGTTCACCGGAAAGGGAGCACTGTGCAGAATGTCGAGTAAGAAAAGCGCGATCTTAAAAAAGATCTTCGTGCAAAATATTCCTCCTCAACCAAGACGCATTGCGATCTCCCAACACCCTCATAAAGTCAAATTCCACATTTCCAGACATGCTACAGGTTTTCCCCCGAGCATTTAAATATTCACAGAATTGCCACAGATTGCAGCTTCCAGGGAGAAAAGGCGAGGCGAGATCTAGCGTGACATCATAAAGGCACGCGGTTTGGGTGCCAAATGAAGACTAAAAGGAATGTATCTATGAGAATTGCTGCGCGAATCCTCATAAAATGAACCGGGTGAGAAGAAAAGCGAGCAACCCAGTAAAGCAGGTAGCGGTGAGAGTGATCTGAGGAAAATGAGTATATGCACGATTCCATCACTAAAGTTCGTATCTGATGAAGGTGAAAGCGCATAATATTGCGCTTATATTGGGGGGGGGGGCACCAAGTTTTACACTAATTTTAGGGTCGAGGATCAATTTGGAGTTGCAGTTTTCTGAAAATATCACCCATAAAGGCTAGATGGACTTTTCCAAAACATCCATCTTTTAGACAATCTCAGAAGGTGTATTCCCCAGCCGATGCGTGCATGGGAGAGGAATCGGGTCCCCGACGCAATCCATGCTTCACGGATTGTATTTATAGGTCGCTGCTGTTGCGCACTGGGTATGGAATATCGAGGTCACTTGTTGTCGTTGTTGTTGTTTTTGCTTCCTCTCTACGCAGAATTTCTGTTGCGGGCAAGTCTGATACAATTCCTCCAATTAGTCAAGGGCTGAGGTTGGTTAATAAGATTAGTAAGAATAAATAGACTAAGAAGAATAATTAACTACGTTCTAGTTAAATTTTGAGGATGAGGTAGACGTCATTGGGGTGATTGTCAGTCCAATTAGCAGAGTCCAAAGGTTACTATTACGTTGCTTAATATTCGCAAACTTCCTGCGGTTAATTTTTTAAATTTTTTTCCTTTCATTTTTTATCACATGCATTTTATGATATTGTTTCTTGAAGATGCAAACACATGCGTTACAGTACTTTTTGTGCAATTTTGTGTTCAATTAGTCATGTTTCTAGTAAGACAAGCAAAGATATGGTCCTTTGGAATCTTTCTTTTAGGACTTGAATAAATTGGTCAAGGTTAATTTATAAATTTGTAAAGGGTGCATTCTCTAAAAAAAATTGAGAAAAACAATAAGAACATAAACTTTATTTTTTTATGGAGGTTTTTTATTTTTTCATTTTATTTTGCTATCCTGCTACAAAATAATAATATTTGACAACTTGAATTGCGAGTTGGTGACCAAGTGCTGAACTGCAAATTGTTGCATAGCATCCTTCAAAATTGATTCAAACATGTTCCAAGGATGACTTTGCATCAGAGAGTAAAAATTCCAAGCTTCAATGCACATAGGCAATAAAAACGCACTACTTTATATTAGAAAGAAGCTAGCTATATCAGTGGATGAGAAAACAAGAAGTGGTTCCAATACAAGGAAATGATGGTAGACTTGATTAATGAACAAATGTGAACACTGAACCTCAGATATTGTTCAAAGATAGCCATTTGTAGCATATTCTTATACTACAAGACATGGTTGAAATGCATGAGCATAGTTGTAGGACTGTAGTTTTGCATCTTCTTGTACTTCTCTACTAAGTTTGTATGAGACCAAGCATGTTTGTGCATATCATCATGTGCTTGCAGTTGAACCATAGTTTCAGTTGTAACACATGCCACAACTTGTGGAATTAATCACAATTCCATTATGGAATAATTTTTGAAATAAGATTGAAACACTTGTCCTCAAGAAATATATAACCATATAATTGTACAAATTTAGCAACTATAAAAATGAAGTTATAGAATATCACCACAACCACAAATTCCAATTTGATATGTTCTTATCTATGAGCCGCTTCTACTCCATGAATTTTAATTTCTTGCAGGACCGGATTTTATTACTTTTATGTGAATTATTTTGATAATTTATTAATAGACCCTCATGGACTCTCCCTGGTCCTATGCGAGAAACTCAACAAGCGGAATCCAGTTAGAACGCCAAATGAAAGTTTCCCACCTTCATTCATTTATTCATTCATGCAGGACCATCATACTGCACATTTGCAACCGTTGACGTTGGAGCTACGAAGCATGTTTTAAGGGGCAGTGACGATCAGTGGTGTTCTATTTCGATTTTCCAAATTAGCCACTTCGCTATCACCTCCACCAAGTGATAGCCAAGCAGGCTAAATGTGGGGTGTAATTTAGTGCCGATCAGTGGTCCCTCCCAAGCAAAGTTGGAGTAAGATTACGTAAACCTCACACAAGAAATGAGTTCCCCCTAAAAAATAATCTCGTCACTCAGTTAATAAAAACTAGCCGAAAATAACAGTGCTGGTGCACTCCGCCGAGAATGGCGTGAATAGGCTCTCCCCCGAGACGATCGGCATCATCAAGCCTATGGTTGATGTTAATGGAGGCGGCAAGTTTGTCGGGAGAAGGTGGGTGGCCTAGTGTGGGCTTAACTTGTCGTCTCCCTGCCTCTCTCTTTCTTCCATGTCACGATGCTGACGATCTAGTTGGAGGCTGTGTTGAAGAAAAAACGAGCCTTGAAGCTTAGATGTTTTTTCCTTAGAGACCGAGTCTGAGAAAAAAAGAAGCAATCCACAACTCCCCCACGCTCATGTTACCGAGTTGTGGCCAAAGAATTTTGTCGTAGCTCGTTGGTTTTGTGCAGGTTAATCTGCTTCTGAGGATTTCTGTTTGGGTGTCAAGTCCGTGCAAGCTACTTTGTGTGAGAGGGAGGAAACCGGTCGAGGTCGCTGCTCATTCTTGTCAACAGGTTTTTGAGTTATCATTGGGCGAGGCAGAGTTCGACCATTTACGTTAACGTAGTGGATTTGTTGATCAAAGAATGCTGGCAGAGCTTAAGTGACGTTGAGACTACTGAATGCAATGCCGCCGATCGCAAAGAGAGCCATGGAGGAGCCGGAAAGAAACTGGCTGGATCACCGCAGCGCTTCAATTGGAAGCTTCATCGATTTGGACTTAAGTTTAGACATAGTGCCCAACAAGTTTGAAGCGGGACGTGACAGCAGGCGATTGTCATCTTCATGTCGACCACAGGGAATGGAAAAGAGGAAGGGAAATGCTTGGTGCGCTCATAAATTCCTTTCGGGGCATTGAAACTTGGGATGGGTTGATCGAGTCCATGTGAAATTTCATGTCTGCTTTGATAGACAGGGGCTTGCAAGAGTGGAGTGAGCCAACGTAGATTTGCAGCAAAAGCAAATGCACCGTTCTTTAGTGACCCAGTTTTACTTGTGCGAAATTCCTAGAAGGTCTTCCTCCAGGTTGGACAGGTGCCTAAAAAATCATTCAGTGAAACTCTTCAATTGTGAAGGAAATGGGCTGCAAAAGTGCGGGGCAGAATTGGTTAAAACATGATTTACCGCTTCTGAAGGATTTTGCTTCTTTCTTGTTTTGCAGGGCTGAAGCCAACGAGTTGCAGAGCAATCTTCACGTCGAAATTGGTGATCGTAGGTTTCAATTGCACAAATTACCTCTCATCTCTAAAAGCGGCAGACTCAACCGCCTAGTGTTCGAGCTACGCGACTCCAATAGGGATAGCATAGCTCTCCATGGCATACCAGGGGGTGCGGATGCATTCGAAGACGCGGTGCGATTTCTTTATGGCAAGAGCATCCCGCTCAATGCTGCCAATGTGGCTGCTATTCGTTGTACTGCCGAGTATTTGGAGATGAACGATAGCTTAGGAGAGGGTAGCTTGGTTGCGAAAGCTGAGCATTACTTGAACCTCTTTGTCGTGGGGTCATGGAAAGACTCAATAACCGTCCTGCGATCATGCTCGGATCTTACACCCTGGGCAGAGGAGCTCGAAATCGTGCGGAGGTGCAGTGAATCCGTTGCATGGAAGGCGAGCACCGACCCTCACGGACTCCGTTGGTCGTCTTCCAAAAGCTGGGGCCGCAAAGAGGCCACTCGCGGCTGGTGGTTCGACGACGTTTGCAGCCTCTACATTGACACATTCAGCAAAGTGATTAATGCCATCATTTCTAAGGGCATTGACTACACAATGATGGCCGCGGTGTTGGTACTGTACGCCGAGAAATGGCTGGGTCTGACGCCCGAGACCCAGCCTGCTCAAAGTGATTCCCTCAAACCCAGTGGTAGCGTTGTTGCATCCACAGGATTTAGTCAAGAATTGATGTCCAAGGTACAGATCAAGAACCGTGCCATTGTCCAGGGTATTGTAAGCTTGCTCCCTTCGCAGCCCGACTCTGTATCCTGCAAATTTCTGCTCAAGCTGCTACGAGCTGCTTGCGCCGCAAACGCTGGCTCCATGTGCAAGACGGATCTAGCGAGGAGAATCGGCCCTCAGCTGGAGAAGGTCTCAGTAGATGAGCTGCTCATGCTTGCTTGCAACGCTAACGGTGATGCCATGTATGACATTGAAGTGGTGCACCAGATCGTGGAGTATTACCTTCAAGAACAAAGCTCAGGTAGTTTACCCGTTAGCCCCACGATCGGCGGTGGAAAGTCGATCATCGCGAGTGCAACTCCCACGAGCATCTCTGGCATGACCGTTCCTTTCAGTGACGTAGATACGAATAGCGTTGCCGGGCGATGCAGCGTCTCAGGGACTAGTGCGTCTCGCACGAGCATTTCTAGCACAAGCTCGTCGCGCACAAGTATTTCAGGCATCTCAAGCTCAAGCAACTCACGTCCAAACATTTCTAGCTTGAATATCTCGGGGTCAACTGTCACAAGCATTTGCGGGCGAAGAATCTCGGGGGGTGGGACTTCGATTTCCCGCACCACGTCGGGCACGAGTGATATGTCTGGATGTGACGAAAGCACCATTACTCGGACAACGAGCAACAGCGAGGAATTTAGCGTGAAGGTTGACAACAGGTTCGAGAAGTCTAAGTTCTTTACTACAGAAGGTCCCACGAGGAAATTACAGCTTCCTCCAACGTCAACAAATCTTGTGGTGGCACAGCTCTTGGAGAGTTATTTGGAAGAGGTTGCCAAGGACTCGAGTATTCCTCTTGGGAAGTTTGTAGCATTTTCTGAACTGTTTATCGAGTTTCCTCGAGAGTCGGATGATTGCGTCTACAGATCAATCGACACATTCCTACGGGTGCTTACTCTTTACACGTTGCTTCTCCATAGTTGAAGTTTTGGAATTGATTAGGATCTTTCTGGCATTAGTCAACCATGCTATTAGTTTATTATATGGGCTGACATGTTCAAGGCGGCGTGTGCAGTTTCACCCAACCTTGAACGATCAAGAGCGCCGAAAACTGTGCAAAGTGATGGACATTCAAGCTCTGTCCCTTGACGCGTGCATGCACGCTGCCTCGAATGAACGTCTTCCTCTGCGGGTGGTCGTTTCGGTGCTGTTCACAGAGCAAGTGAAGCTGCGCAATGCCATTACAGGCTCGGCTGTTGTCAATGACAAGGGTGTGGATAGCATTCCAATCATCCTCTCTTCCGCTTCCAGGGAATTTAACTCTGAATCCCACTCGGACCCGCTGTCAAGTTCCAAGGCCTCTACAAACACTTCCACGGACACATCCGCAGGCAGTCTTTCAACTGTAAGCGGCTCAAGCAGCAAGGTGTACAGCCTGTCTATTCCAAACAGGGCTCCCAGCGTGGCACCCAGTGGGGCACCCAGCGCGGCCCATAGCGCTGCTTTAAGTGCCGTGAACTCTGGCTTGCTGAGTGGGTTGACTGTCAAAGACAAACTTCGGAGTGCGCTCTCTGATATTGAGTGGCTACAGACGGCGGTGCAAGACATTGAGATGTTGAAGGCTCGTCTTAGCCTCATGAATGTCCTCCAGCAGGACATGGAGAATATGAGCAGGAAGTTCATGGATTTGGCTCACGATTACACCGAGATGACGCATCAGGTAATGTCATGTCTAAATTTTGTAAGTCATTTCTGGGATCCATTTCTTTTTCGGTTTTATGCGTATAAAAGTTTTGCAACCTTACTGGAAATCATGTTCTGATTTGCTCAGGTGGAAGAACTGACGAAAGTTACCAAGCAAAAAAGTAGCTGGACCTCTGGATGGAAGAAGATGTCGAAGCCGTTCCATGGGAAGGATCAGCCTGATCCGCCAAAGACCTTCAACCACACCTCAGACTTGGAGAAGCACTTGAAGGCTGCATCAGACACCATTCCCTTGTACCAGCAAATGAATATCCTCCATCCTACTGATGTTCCTTTTCTTCAGAATCTTCAAACTCCGAAGACGTCAGTGCAAGCAGCTGCAGCCGACACTCCACTAGAATCTCCGAAGCTAGCATCAGCGGCATCAGATTCGAAGGTTTTAGAAGCCAAGTCGGAGACGCTAGTCAAGGTTGTCGTGCCCCATGTTGAATACCAGGAGGTGGAGGCTGTTCTAGTTCAACCGCAGAGTGCTGCTCCCGAAGAACCGCCATCTAATTCCACTGGAGCTGTTGCTTCTGAAGCGGAGAAAAGCACAGCAACAGAAACAGCAGATTCCCAGCAAGACAGCGTCTCACATCAATACAGACAAGTGAAGACCCCAGTCCGCCAGTCTCGTACTCGGCACCGCCCTTCATCTCCACCTTCTGAAGGTCACCATGATCGCCACTACGTCAAGGACTGCGACTCTATTTCCATATCCAGTGACAAAACCGATTCCGTCATGCACAGCGATCCACGCCATCGACACCGAGACAAGAGCTCGGGCCATCGCCAGCATAGAGACCACTCCGAAGACCGCAACCATCGAAGCAGTCCACATGGCCGGGGTGAGCACAGGGCTCACCACCGACACAAGGATGGATCCCCGGAGCGTCACATGAGCAACCACTTCGGAGACTTCAGCCCAGACGAACGCCATCGTCGAAGCCACTACAGCCCAGAGCATCACCTCAGAAAAGGTCTCCATCATCATGGCAAGGATCCCCCTCGTCAAAGCAACGCCAGCGCAAGCAACCACCCCAGAGATCGCAGCCCAGACGACCGCCATCGCCGAGGCCACCTTAGCCCCGAGCCTCACCTCCGGAAAGAGCACCCCCAGAGCACGAAGGACCCGCCTCGTCCAACCAATGTGAGCAACCACAAGCACGGCTCGGATTATCACTCCAGCAACCATAGCCACCTCAAGCTGCACCATAGGAGCCATCACAAACACCATCACAGGAGAGATTATGACTCTGTGTCGAGCTTCAGCAGCGACTCTGGATCAAGACCATCCAGACCTCGGCGGCATTCGGGAGTGTAAACCATTCTGCAACCCAATATTTTTCCTCTTTCAACAACAGTTCAGGGCGTCTGTAATTTAAGCTATCAGTAGAGCGAGCTACATACAATAGAATCTTGGAATTTATTTTAAGCTATGCTAATTTAAGCATTAGCATAGTGAAGGTAGCCATCGTTAGAAACAATGAGAATTTGGGTCCTTCCTCCTAAATGCGAGGTCTTGTACAACGCCGCTTCGGCGACACACCAAGCTTTGTATAGTGTGATATCTTGCCACGATCATATCCCTGTCTTTGTTTGATAATTATCTAAGCTAGCGTGACACATCTTGACACTATGATGTAGCTTTGCATGACATATCTTTCTTTGAGTGTATCGTTCTCACTTTGTTTTCATCATTTGGACGTGGTGTTGGTTTTGATCAGAGTCTACTAGGTTTTACTGCTCTTTTGTTGAATAGGATTGATTTCACAAAAAGCTTGTTGAAGAGCAGATTTGAAGCTCTAAAGTACTCAAATGTTTATAATGTGATTCAATTATGCTCTTAACCTAACTTTTTCAATGAATAGTTTTCCAATGCTAGTGCAAAAGATCATAGTTATAATACAATAGTTTTTCATTTATACACAAAATGGCATAGATCCAATACTTCAAATTAGTTAAGGGATGATGGTCTATTTTTATTCAAGTTTTTCTATCTTAAACTTAAGATAAGGTCAAAAAAATATTTTTAGTTTATAATTAATTTAAGCATCTCAAATTAAATATTTATTTTTTTATACTATATGATATCAAGCAAAAGAACTTGTAATTGTTATTATGTAAATTCTATTCCTTAATATATTTTTGGCCATCTAAGAATTATTCTAATATTTAAGTATGATGTTACATTTGTCTAGTTGTCAATCCAATTTTTTTCTAAGTTCTTTTGATATTATTTTACTATATACTAATAGTTTGTCAAATATTAGGCTCTTGATTTATACATCCTTTTATATGATGTTTTTAAAAATATTTGTATTATATTAAATCCATATTTTGTAGATACAAATTCTTTAGAAGAGAGATCATGTAGTACTAAAACAATTAAAATGGGATAATAGTTTGCATACAAAAATTCTTAATTACTAAGTAATTGATTTCTACATACAATAGAATCTTGGATTTTATTTTAATTTTTATATTAATTATATAGCATAATCTCAAATATGTTTTGTTTAGGTTTTTTTTTTTTTAAAACTTAAGTATAATTATTCCAAGTATTAATGGCATATACAAGATACAATTGGAGGATGTATTTGGATTGTCTTGTCCTCTCTATACATTTATAGCCACTTCTTGGTGCAAAATCAACCATGTGAATTTTGCTTCTCTTTTAGCTCTTGGTTTGAACCATATGTCTTTTTAGTTGAATAAAAAATCTTTTAGTAAAATATTTTTTATTTTTAAGTTATCCAAATTCCGTCCATTATACTTACAATAGAAAAGTTTTCTACCAAGTTTCATCTTGTATGTTAAATATTTTATCTAAATTTCTGATAGTATATGAGCCAATCAAAGAATAACTCATCTATTGTCCCATAAAATATTTTAAATAGTTCTTTCAAATTTTCAAGCTTTTCTTTTGATTTTGGAACTACTCAAGTTATTTTTATACAAATTTAAATAGATTAAATTATATTTGTATCTCCATCATGATTTTTCTTATTCAAGAAATTTTTAAGCATTGAGTTGTAATGTAGCACCTTAGATAATTTGCTGACATGATAGACTTTTGTTTTGAAGGACTTAAGAATAATATTCTAAAAATTTCTTTGGACTCCTACTTGAGAGGTTTGGAATTGAAATACAATCAAGGAAGTATAATTTTTGTATCTTTGATTAAACCTATTTAATCTATCACTTTTAGAAGCTTGAATATTATTTGTAAAAAATTCCAATAAAATAGATATTTAGAAGTTATATTTTTAAAATAAAAATTATAATATTTTTCTATCAAATTAAATTTATTTTTTGATTTCTTTCACTTTTTAAAACTTAGGTTGGATACATCAAAAATATCTTTTTCTTTATGCAAGTCATTATATTTTATCATATGCTTTTAAAAAGTCTAATTTTAGTACAATAAGAGATTGATTAGATATTTTGGATTAGTGAATATTTTCTTAATTTTCTAAGATATAATCTAAAATAATTCTCATGGATGAAAATATTAGTTTAATATGGATGTAATATTTCCATGAATTATTTTTTAGTCTTCTTTGTAATATCATTGCATAAATGTTATATATAATATTTAGTAAGATAAATAATCTATAGATATCTAAATTGGTCTTGTTTTTTCTTTTATAAAGTAATATGTTTTTCTTTTGATTGTAAAAATAATAATTAAGTATATGTAGGTAGTTATTTCTAATAATATTCCAAAAAACTTTGTAAAACTCAATTCCAACTTCATCTAATCTTGGTGATTTTTATTTTCTACATCTTTTATAGCATCTTTTAATTTTTTTTTTTAAAACAAAGTTCTATTGAGATCCACAATTACCTTTTCTATGACATTTCTTTTCACAAGTTTTAGATTTAGATGTCTTTGTTAATAGTATATTGGCCTCATATGTTGTCATCTATAAAACTTGGCATAAAATTCATAGAAATTTTTTTATATGATTATAATTAATTGCTTTGTTACCTTAAATATTATTGAAGTTAGAAGTGAGAAAAAAATGTGCCTTTACAAGGCTCATATGTGTAAAAAAATCTATTTAAACCCTACTCTTACTTTTTGGTTTTCTTCTCTCTATTCAATAAGTTGCTTCAATTTGTCTAAATTCTCACTCAAAGTTCTTTTATTTTATGTAACTTGCAAATCTTCTTGTAATTTTTAATATACATCAAAAATTTCTTGTTTATTACCATTTCTTCCTTTGCATCTAATATTATATATTCCTTACAATGTTTGTTTCTAAAATTTATAAAAAAATCTCTTTTTAATAAGATAGAATCTTCTATATTTTGTCCTTGTTTATGTATGATGAACTTGTAGGATTTTTCTTAGATTTGAAATGTAAAAGAAATTTATTTTAAAATTAATCTTTGATTGAAATTTTTATATTTAAATATTTAATTTAATTGATGAATAATTAAATATTTTTTCTATTTTTTTATTATATTTTACTATATTTTATTTCTATATAAAACTTATATTTTTTTAGAATCTATCTAATCTTAGTAGGACTTTCATTCTATTTTATTTTTTTGTTGAAAAAACCTTTAAATAGTTGTTGGCTTTACAATAACCTTCAAGTTAAACTTGAGATTTTAAAAAAATCCATACATTAAATTCTTATCTTGCTAATTTATTTTTGTAAAATAATAATTTATCTTGAATTAAATTTGTCATATTTTAGTAATTCCTAAAAAACCAAAAACTTCTATTAAAAAGTACATCTAATATGTCTAGCTATAGTTTTGATATTTTTTATATTATTAACTAATACAATCCTAAAAATAATTCATATAATTCTATTATTTAAGAGAAAGTTTATATTCTCTACTAAGTATTTAATATAGAGTACTAAAAAAATATACATTCTACTAATTCTATACCATTAGAGTCTAAAACATATTTGTGAACAAAGTCTTATATAAAATCTTGTATTTGATTATATAATTTTGTCAAAATTATGGACTCTCTTACCATAGAAATTATATTCTTAAATTTATAATTTATTTTTATTTAGATTACATATTGTCAAGGACATGAATCTTAAAGAACTAAAAGATTAGGACACTCTTATATCTCTCAAAAAGACTAGATAATAACTCAAAGATGATATAATATCAAACTAGAATGGCTATTGCCAAAGACAAGAATACTAAAAAGTCTTGAAAACAATATTAAGGATTAGAAAGGTATTAAGAAGAGTGAAGAAGGCTTCACTCTTACCTCTATATATACTATCTAATTACAAGCTACATATCAATGTTCTATAGGACCTCTAATACATGTTGACTTTATAAGACTTATATCTTAACTTGTACGGCAAGTTTTCTACATATGTGCCACATAGTTAACTTGTTCTGCAAGCTACTAATATTAAGTTAACTTGTTGACCAAGTTTCTGTTAAAGTAAATAGAAAATAAGTTAGAAGGTAAAAGATATTATCTTAGGTAAGTTGCTAATAGTCAAAAGGTAGCAAAAAGATGAAAGAAAGTTATTAAGGTGGTGGCTAGGATTTAAAATGGTGGCTAAATTACGAAGAATTTAGGATTTAATTAGATGAAAGTAAGATGAAGTCTAGCCAAAAATGGATGTAAAATTTACTTATAAGTAAAGGGTGTTGGAAGTGAGAGGCATCTCATTCCACACTTCTCTTCTCTCTAACCTTGTTGTTTTCTACTTACTTGTGTCTTGCTTATTATGTTTCTTCAATAGGTTATAGGCCCACTCACACTTTGTTGTGCTATTCAAATAAGTTGAAGTCATTTGATAGTTGTTGTTCTTGTGTAGAATATATCTTATGGTGTTTGCTGATATTAGGGTTTATATGATCTAATCTTGTATTTTGACTTATGGAGGTTCTAATTTGGGCCTTATAGATTCCTAACATGTATTTGAAGGTTCTTAAATCCTAAGATTAAGTGATTAAGACCTCATATAAAAACCTTGATAGTGTCTTTGGTGTTGTGGAAGTTTAAGTGAGAAAGTGAGTTTTATGAGTTAGAAAACTTGATGGTGAGGCTAATTAGAGTACACATATTTGTTAGAAGCTTTGAAAGTTGAGTTAAAAGTATTTGGAGTGAAGAAACATTCATTTGTTCACAAGAGGGCATTCTAAGATTTTGCTAGTGCAAAATTGTTTTGGTGATTTTAAGCACATAGAGACTCTTTTTTTTGATATTTTTTGATAGACCTCTTTTTAGACATGGTTTCTAGTGAAGGTGAAGATTTGAGAGTGATTGAGAAGTTTAGAGGTGATAATTTCTACAATTGGAAGGTCAAAATGGAGCTTTTGTTGGCGTCTTTAGACCTTTGGGACATTGTAGATGAAAGTGAAGAGCCTCTAAGTATGCATGCTGATGCTAAAGAGAGGAAAGACTTCACAAGACATAAAAAGAAGGCTTTTGGCATGATTTCCACCAATTTGACTGAAGCCAACTTTTCTCACATCATCTCTTGCAAAGGACCAGCAAAAGCATGGAAGATTCTTTATAACATATATGAGAGCAAGAACTTGTTTAATATCATCTTCACAAGGAGGAAATTCTATACTTTCAA